AGCTCTATTTACTAACTACAGCATATAAAGGCAGAACATTTTCTTCTGGCCTTTCATGAAGGAAGGGGAAACAGGAAATAAGAAAGGGCCAGGGGAAAAGAGTGTGATTTTTTGAGAATATTTACATACTGTCCTTTTAGTCAAGAACATAATCGATAATAGACTTTTCTTGGAAAAGTCTGAAAGCCTAATATATTAATGTAAAGGTTTTTGGTTTTTTGGCAGGATCCTGCATTTCTGGAGAAAAAGAAGCGTTGTGAATATCTGAAGAATAAGCTTTCTCACATAAAACAACGAATTCAGGACTATGATAAAGTTATGAATTGGAATGTAGAAACTTAGCAATGCCTTGACTTCATGGATACCATTTTCTGTTTTTAAAATCTATTTTATTTTAGGTATTATAGGTATTTTAACCTATTTATTTACTCTTTGAACAGTACACATATGGGGATTACTTAATCACTGTCATATATTTGGATATTGTACATTCCTGATAGGTTTTGTATGCAGATCCAATTGTAATTGAAGTTGTAAGTTAAGAAACCTCTGCTAACATTCTGCTTTCCTTAGTGCAAATCTTGGCCTCTTAAATATGAATACTTTATTTGAAAATACTTCATTTGCAAACTTGCAAAACCAGAGAAAGCAGTTTCCAAATACTTTGTGGAAACTTTGCACAGAAATGCTGTTAACAATTTTGAATTTTATTTATATGTGACATCTTAATGATATCAGAAAGAGCTGAGCTGTTCTTTCTGTGTGGGGCTTCTTGCACTGCCTAATTGTATTGAATAATTTGGTCAATTCAGAAGCTAGTTTAATAAGATTTTTTTGTATTTTAATTCCAAATGTTGTACATTATACCAGAAATCATCTTGAATTTTGCCCATTAAGAGAGGAAGAATAGCTTCTTATTTAAGCAGCTGGGGGAGGGGGACTTGGGTTTGATTTTTGTACTGCCCTCTTCAGAGATGATGCAACAAATGTGTACTTGGTCTTAAAGGAACGGATGTACAGGATGAGACCTATTAATGTTCTATTAGTGTTGCTATAGGTCAGTGTGCTGTGCCTGCCTTCTGCATCATGCTGTTAGGGGTACACATGTTTAAGGGCTTCACTCTTCATCAGCAAGTAACAGGACTTTTTGTCTCTGCAGCAGCTGTCAGTGAACTTGGCATTCAGGGAGTAAGTACAGCACAGTACAAAATTAATTCTCATTCAAAGTATAAATAGTTAGAGTCCTCTTTAAGGCCAGAGAAAATGTATTAAAAGACATACTTTCCAGAGCATATTTGCATAAATTCTATATATATTTTTATATTTTCTTGGGGATATTATGCTGGGGATCAGTTTGTATGTGCAAGTATTTTCATAAGTGAGTAATTTTTCTCTTTGTATCCTTTTCCAAATCTTTATTTACTTTACTAACTTTTTTTATTTACTGAAATTGCTAGAAGCATTGATAGTTTTTGTACAGTTTTCTACAACTGCAATTTGTTCTGAAATATGTTTTTTAATATAAAAATACCCCACCAGAGTAGCCATATTACTCTATTGCTTATAAAGACACTTTATTTGAAAAAGGTGCTCTGATTACAGTTACTGCAAATTTTTGTTAGTCATTTGGTTTCTTCTTTGAAAGAAAGTTTTTGACTTCTGCCTTAATTTAAAGGAGCAACATCAGGAAAGCCATTTCCAGTTTAGTATGGTCATGGTAGTACTGCCTGTGCCTTTCACTGCTGGAAATGCATTAACATACCTCACTCTGACCATTGTAGCCCTTCTGGTTTTTGGCCCTTATCATTCACACTGTAATCCTGATGGCCATGCACCCACCTTCGTATTTATAAAATTGACATTCCAATTTTATCAGCCACTTAATTCCAAGAGCTTTAGTGGATGAGGTAAATAGCACAAGATGCCATGAGAATGCTGAGAGAATTTGAAAGTTTGGCACCTCTTCATTTCAAAGCCTTTAGTCTCATCTACCTGGAAGGTGCCTCAGTATTTTCATCATTCTGAGAACAGGTGACAGCCAGTCTATGCCTTGTTCTCTCTCTCTTGTCAATGCCTTTCTCTCTGGTTCTGGTTTGTATTCATTTCAAAGGAGAAACCGCTCTTCCTTGTAAAGGAGATGGGCCAATTTTTTATACTTGTTGTGCTGAATACTTGTTAAATTGTTCTTTGTAAGGGAAGTACTTGTCCAAATCTCCACAACCTAAATAAATGACCTCTCACTGTATACCCAGGTTTCTCATTTTTTCTCATTGAGATTTCTGGGCATTGCATCAATAACAGAAGATTAGTTCAAGTTTGAGGATCAACTGGTGTTCATTAAGTGCTAACAATAACATAACTGATATTTTTTTTGGAAGATTGACAGTCTACACACTTAATAGGTCTTATTTCTGTAGGAGAGTGAGACCCAGGTCCAGGTTCCTTTTGACAGTGGTCCAAGTTTCAGACTTTGAGAAACTGGCTCCTGGTCCCTCAGACAGTGTCTGCATAGACTGTGGAGAACCATCGTGTTGCTTCTTTCCTGCAAAGTTTCCAGCAAATGGATTGGAAAAAGGGGACACCATACCTGTGCCTGGAGTGAGGAGATTAAGGGGTAGCATCTGTATGTGGATTCTCATGTTTCCCAGCAAGATGCTGCAGGTGTGGCCAAGTAGATTTTCCAAATGCTGGGAAGAGAAGCTGGGAGAGAAATATTCTCTTCTGCCTGCCTTTTGGGTTCTGAACAGGGTTAATGTAGGGCACAACAGAAGTAAGCTACCATCCTAAGGTACGCAGGCCATCCTAAGGCTGCAACAATATGTTGCAACCATTACAGTAAATTACTTGCTCAGTCCTGTGTCTGTTACAGGGGTCAGGGCTGTAGCCCTTCTGTTGTGTACAATCCATGCTCTTGTTTTGCTCTAACCTACCAATGGACAGCTGAAAAGGGTCTTGTCTACAATGCCACAGATGGGCTGGAGAAAAAGTGTTAGTCTAAGATTAGTCTTAATGTTCATTTCAGAGAAATTGAGATTAATGAAATCAGAATTAATGGCTGGAAGCTGAAGCAACTTGGAGCAAGGCAGAAATTAGGAGGAAGGTGATGGGAGAATCCCTCAATCTGAGTTACCATAAGAACTATCAAGGAAAGAGGTTTCTTGTTATTCATAAAGAATAGAAGGCATACTCCAGACAAAACTGAAGTTTTTAGATGATTATCACCTCAGTCTCTGTGCAGCCCCTCTAGGCTCAGCTCTGAATCTACACTTTTGCACGTATGTGTAAAACAATGTGCTGTGTGGTCTTAGCCGTGTGACTGGGTTTTTGCAGAAAGTAGTTAACACATGAATCACCAAGGAAGACTGCCTTACATCAGTGGGCTTGCTTTTCATTACAGACTTCCTCAAACCCTGAGTGTATACAACAAGAAGTTTTATCCTTCAGTCTTCCTCTTAGAGAACGCTTGCCTGATCTACAAATCTTGGTCTACAGATCTACAAATCTTGATGCTCAAGATTCTTAGCATTTCTACAAATATTACAGTTTCTAAACTGGATTTGTGTTTCTTCTTGTCTTTGTAAGCACTTGGGTATCCTAGATCAAAGTAATTGTGTCAAGATTGGCATACTTTTTACTAAACTATACATTTTTTTCAGGCCAGATAAAGCAGTGACTAACAAATGTACCCAAAATTTTGTCTTGTGCAATAGCCTGACCAGCTTTCATGACAGCATATTGACTACAAATGCTCATGGCAATGAAAAACCTAATTGCTTTGAAATTGTAAAATAAGGTATCCAGTATGTTATTTATTAATTTCAAAATCGTGGTGGGATTTCAAGCACTTGTAAAATCAAGTTTTACAAAATTACTGTATATCCTGTGCTCCTGTCCAGCATTGAAATTCTTGGTCTTGAGAATAAAAAATACTCCTGTTCTGAAAGAAGTCTCATTTCTCGCTTCTTTTATTCAAACTGCTAGCTTATAAGACACTTCATTTCAGTGTTTTCCTTCTAAAGAAAAGATGGTGCATGTTCTAATGGGAGTTGTTCAAACTACAGCTATTTCAGTTCCAAAAAGCAAATCCTGACTTTTCAAAGAATTCCTCTTTTCCGGTCTTCAGATTGCTTTCCTTCAAAAAAAAAATTGGTTTTTTTTCCCAGGTACGGTTTAACTGAAAACTAAATTAATTTTTTCTCTCTTTCATAGTTATGCATTGCTCCTGATAAATGCAGTAAGCTGAAGGGTACTGAAGTGGTTAGTTTTGCCCCACTCCTGTTTCACGAATTGTTACTACTGTTTACATGTTTTCTTCCTCAATCATTGTCTTACTTGGATGCAGAGTAAGACTCCATAGAAACGGATGTTCAGTAATTTTCCTGTAATTCAAGAGGTGAAGCCCAATCTTGGCATACCTCCACTGTATCCGGTAGAGTTTTAATCGCTCGGCAGAGCAATCAGCATCCTCACTGTGGTGCTAATGAATGGAAACTCTTGGTGACATGAATACTCAGAATTATTTTAGGTAGACGGAAAACTTGATTACTTAACATCAAAACACCTGAAACTTCTTGCTTTTGCTGGATAGATGGGCGCCTTCATTAACCGGCGTATGAGCATAATCGTGTTTAAATACAGTGATTTTTCCAGGTATTGCGTTTATATATTAATTACTGAAATAGCTTCGGTTAATTACAGAAGTGCCACCGAGACCCAGGCAGTGCCATGGCCTGGCGGGTGTGTCCGGAGGCACGAGCGAGCGGGGCTCCTCACGGCCACGCCACCGCGGGCCCCGAGCGATGTCTCCGTGGGGCGGCTTCCCTCCCTTCCCTCCGTGAGGGGCCCGTCCTCTCCATGACCGCGCTTGGAGGATTTTGCTGATGTTGAGGAAAACACAACGGAACCTTTCCGGAACGCTCGCTCCGCGGCCCGGGCGGCGGCCGGGACGGTTTGGCGGCGCACCGAGGCGGAAGAGGGCGGGCGCCAACGTGTCCGGGACGGCAGGGCCTGGCGGCGGGCGCGGGCCGGAACTCCTCTCCGTGTCCTGCGGTTCTACTCAACCTTCCTCGGCTCCTCTTAGCCCCCCGTGGCCCTTCTCACCCCCCTCAGTGTCCCTCGGCTTCTCTCAGACCCCTTCCACTCCCGTCTTCTTCCCGCAGTCCCCCTTGTCACCCCTGAGCGCTCTCGTCTCTCCTGAGCTCCCCTGATACTCCCTGAACGCCCCGCTTCTCCCCTGGTCACCCCACAACCCCCTCAGTGCCCCCCAGCCGCCCTCAGCTCCCGCCGAGATGGATGATGAACCCGAGCGGACCAAGCGCTGGGAAGGAGGCTACGAAAGAACATGGTATGTTCTTTCCCCCTCACCTTTCTCCCCTTTCTGGCGAAAGAGGGGAAAAAATCTCCCCTGTGCCCACTTTTTTGCCTCTGTTTTGCGTAGGGAAATTCTTAAGGAAGACGAATCCGGGTCGTTGAAAGCAACCATCGAGGACATTCTCTTCAAAGCAAAGAGGAAAAGGTACTTGGTGTGGCCACGAGTCTGCTAATAGCACTGACTTGGTCAGTTATAAGGGCTTGATCATCCTGAAACTGGGTCATGTGGCATTAAGCCTTAATTAATTAAGTATAAGGCATGCCTGCAGGATGTTTTTATGTAGTTTCTCCTTCAGAGGGGCAGGTGCATGCCAGAAAAAACGGTGAAGAATTAATTTTTATCTTTGAACGGTGAATGCATACAGGCTGTGTATCCCATGTGTATGCAAGTTGCAGGTCTTGATCTGATGAAACAGTGCAGAGCACTGCAGTTGCAATCTGCACAGCCTAGAGAAATCTTCCATCTTTTTTTTTAATATACACATCAGAGAATCACAAGATAGTTTGGGTTGGAAGAGACCTTGAAGATCATCCCACTGCGACCTCCTATGAGCAGGGACACCTTTCAATGGACCAAATTGGTCAGAGCCCCATCCAATCTGGCCTTGAACTCTCCCAGGGGTGGGACATCCACACCTTCTGAGGGCAGCCTGCTCCAGTGCCTCACCACCCTCATGGTAAAAACATGTTTATCCCTAATCTAAATCGACCTTTTAGTTTAAAACATTGTCCCTTGTCCTATCACAGCAGAATCTAGCTCCTGGTATCATGGCTACAGATTTCTGTTTCAAATTTCAGAAAAATTGCTAGAAAAAATCCCAAATTTTGCATTACTTGAAGTTACATTAGAACTTGATTTGTCAAATTTGGGTAAAATTTTACAACTTCATTAAACCTGATAGTAAGAAATAGCTCTTATTTCTTTTCTGAGGGTTGTGAAATCTGTGATTGAGCTGTGGAGTTTTTCAGCATGAATAAGTGTCTGCAGTTTGGTGCTTCTACATTTTTGCCAGAAGTCAGTATTAGACTTGTTTAGAGTTTTATTTTAGGAGCCATTCACTCATCTGAATTTGATTTAAATCCTTCTGTGTTTTGTTAGACTCTATGAACACCATGGACAAGTCCGGCTTGGAATGGTATGTTAATACCTTAACCCTCTTCTGTTCTTAGTCCAAAACTGCTTGGCTAGAGGTGGTATTCCGGATCTGAAATATACTTCTGCTGGCCTAACTTCATACTAAAGCTGTGCTTCTTACCAAACCTTATGGTTTCCACCGTTTTTCGTTATTTTTTTTTAATCATTCTTTGTTCGTTGGCAGTGTGGATGCGAAGCGTAGCTATTCAGGGTTGGAGGTCTGACACCCAGGGTGTGTTTGGCAGCAGAAGTCACACCACATGTGCTCACTCTGTCCATTTCTCTTCATGTGAAAAATGGACATAATGGAAATGTGCTGTAAATAAACACATTGCTTTGTACAACACTGAACTCTTCAGATGAAGATGTGAATGTTTAAACTATGCATGTTTTGTAGCTTATCATGAGAGGGGAAAAGAACAGTGTGCAATTTTCAAGAGAGGGTTTCTTTTTGTTTTAAGAGAAAAGTTGAAGAATGCATTACTTTGCATTTTACATTAATTGCATCACTCAATCTACTGAATTTTCCCTCTTTGAGGGAGGAAGTAATGTCTTTTTTAAGTAAATGGAATAATGAATTAATTTCAATACGTAATCTGTGAGTGATTTTTGCATATGGTGGAAATGCAGATGCGTCACCTTTACGTGGTTGTTGATGGATCAAGAACAATGGAGGACCAAGACTTAAAACCGAACAGACTTACTTGCACTCTGAAGGTATTCCTGCACTTCCAAGTTTTTTCTTACTGAGCCACTGTTCCTCTGTAAACTGGTTGCTTATTGCATTCCAAAAATTGCAGTTTCCTGTATGTGCACAGCCTCATCTCTCATCCCTGCATTTGTCTCCTTGCTTCTGTTGCTAGTCTGTCACTTTCCTGTTTTTTGAATAGTAAAATCTGTGTGGCATTGTTTTGCCTTGCACATGTACTTCTGTGCAGTAAAAACACTTTATAAAGGCATGTTATGGGAAGACACGTTTGGAAACTGGAAATTAAGTGTTGCCCATAGTAAGGGGATGACATGTTTTCGTTTATGTATCTAGAATTGGTTTATATTTTTTTCTTACAGCTGGGTTTTTTTATGAATTTTTATTTGAAAGGATGCTAGATGAGAGTTGAACTGGATTGCTGTTTCAGATTGTGGAGGACTTGAACTGTGTACATCGTGTTCTGTATGGCCTTCTTCGGCAATACTAAAGCATGAAATCCTGGGTTTTGTTGGTTTTGTAAAGATTAGTGCATTTTGATATATTGAAAATCTTCATTTGCACCAGCGGGAATCTAGAACTTCAACACAGGACATGAATAAAATAAGGGGGGGTGTAGTTTCTGAAATCTGCATTTCATTAGCTACATGGGATGAAGGGGGAGGGTTAGAGTGAAAGAAGACTGGAAAGGAAAGGCTCATTCCCCCTTTTTGTGTTACCCAACTACTTTGTTTTGCTTTTTAGTTATACTAGATGTTTTGTATCTACATAGTGCATGTCTGATAAAAGTATAATTAGTTTTTAACTGTCTTAACTTTCCTTTGTAGTTACTGGAATATTTTGTTGAGGAGTACTTTGACCAGAATCCTATTAGTCAGGTATGTACAACCATGCAAGAAACAAATATCAGAAAGCTATTTTGAAAGATAGTTTTGGCTGTAATACTACCCAGTAAACTGTTTTCAATTTATGTGTACCTTCTCATCCTTTATTCATCAGTCTAGAGATATTCTTGTTTCTGCCTGTTTCTGCCAGGCATTTAGAATTTTAGATTTCTTTTTGTACCTTTTGGCAGTAGTAATGAAAATACAGGAGTGTTTGTAAAATTATGCATCATGTCGTGCTGCTGTTGTTACACTTGAAGTAAAACTTGCATGGTTAAATAAGTCTGGTCCATAAAGACATAAAAAAATTATAGTAAAATTCTAAATAAACTCATTGTAAAACTTTCAAAGAACAATTTTGTCTTTTTTTTCCCCCTTTTCAGATTGGATTAATTGTAACCAAGAGTAAAAGAGCGGAAAAAATGACAGAACTCTCAGGTAGGGAAGTAATATTCTTTTCTTAAATTGCAGATGTTTTTATCCTTTTCATTGGTATTGTAAATTCTGCCTGATATACTGCTGAACATGAAGTTACATTATCATAATTAACTTTAATTCAAAAGATAAATTATTGCAAGTTGTCTGAAGCCATAATCTGTGCTTTGATCCAGGATTGTCATTGTGTGCTTGTTTGTGATCAAGTCTTGATCAGAGTGTAACTCAGATATGTTCTGTTTCCCCTATGGCTACTTTTCTACCCTGTTTGTTAGTTTTGTATGTTACGACATCTGTGTTTTTTGTGAGATCTGATCAGATGTTAAGTCAAGCTTTGTTTGGTTCCTGCCTGCTGTTACACCAGTCTCTTTGGCTTCAGCAAGTTTCATTGAGGAAATTCAGGATCAGTCAATCTTTGAACCATACTTTGAGGATAACAGAGGAAACAAAATTAATTTCCTGTTTGTGAGAGACATCACACTCATGTTGAGTGCTAATGATACCCAGCAGTGATTTTATTCTTTTTGGCTTCTAAACTTTCTAGCATTTGAGTGCCTAGAGAGTAAAAGTCTGTCTTACTGTTTCCTATATTCTGATGTAATGAAGTACACTTCATTACAAGTACACTTCATTACATACACTTCATTACAGTTTAAATATTTCTGTTCTTCAACTTGTTGTATCAGTTAAATTGATTGCATTTTTTTTTCACTTACAGGAAACTCAAAAAAGCATGTAACTGCTCTGAAGAAAGCAGTGGATATGAACTGCAGTGGAGAGCCTTCTCTATATAATTCCCTAAATTTGGCCATGCAAACTTTAAAGTTAGTATATACATGGAGGTTTTTTGCTTTCTTTGTAATTGTAATTTTTCTCAGTAGCATCTTGCATCATGCTGACGTGAGTCTTTAAAAGGTGACTTTATTTCCTCTTACAATACAAATCATTAAGTTAAATATTCTAGTACTGCAGAAGTTTATTTTCTACCACTAGTGCTTGTATTTAGGGGTGTGTTTCTTATAGAAATGAAATTTGAAAACCAGGTTGATGATGATATGTAGATATTGTGATGAAAGACACTGCAATTCTTTTTTACTGAAGGTCTGAGGTATGAGAGAGGACAGACTTAGGGGTTAATAATGCAAGAGAACAGGAAAAGAAACAGCATTGTGTCACAATAATCTTGTGAGAGTTTTGGCATTGTTTAGAAAGATCAGTTTTCAGATAGGATAGATTCAGAACACTTGTTTGCTATGTGAGGTATTAAGGTGTATCCCAGTATGTGGAATTACAGCTAAAACACTGAACAAAGCTAATAATCAGTGTCATGAAAAGCTATTTAATTACTAAAGGAGGGAGAGAGTTTTCAGCTAAGAACTAGAAGTAATTAAAAGTAATGGATTTATGCTTAAAAACTGATTAGGGTTTTTTAGGAAGTCAGGAAGACTCATTACAGTGTGCTAGTTTGAAGATGAATTCTACCTGTGAGTAGTATGGCTAAGGTACAAAGGATTCATTACAGCAAATAATCAGGTAACAACTACACAATTAAATACTGTATTTTAGATGTTGCAAAAGTTTGTCTTTCAGAAAGTGAAAATCTGGTGCTCAGAAAACTATCTTATCACAGCATGTACACGATTTCATATGTCATCTTTTGACTTCAATACATTAAGGTTGTTGGGGATGTTATCATAGAAATAGTTTAGTGTGCAGACGTAAATTGACTGTGTGCTTTCCTTAGGCACATGCCAGGACATACAAGCCGAGAGGTTTTGGTAGTCCTCAGCAGTCTGACAACATGTGATCCTGCCAACATCTATGATCTAATTAAGGTACCGAACTGAAGTTTGACTACTGCATTGACTACCACATCCAAGCTACTGGAGAAAAAACAGGCAGTTGCAGCATCATCACCAACTAATTTTCATTTAAGACTTGAAACCTTTTTACTATTTCTTGTTCTGCACATAAATTTGAGTATGCTTTTTTTTCTCTATTTTAAGTGTTTAAAAGCAGTAAAGATCAGAGTGTCCGTCATCGGCTTAAGTGCTGAAGTTCGAGTTTGTACAGTACTTGCCCGAGAAACTGGTGGTACGTATCTGAAGTTCAGTAGTTATATTACTCACACAGGTTTAAAATCAAAATTAAGGAATTTGTTATATATTTATTACTGCATTTTGATATTTTTAAGGGTAAATATTTTCCATTGTGCTGGCAGAAAATTAAAGAGTTGCCCAAATCTAAGTGAAATCATTATCAGCTGGTAGCTGCAGCTCTAGAGAGAAGAAATACATGTATTTTTCAAACCTTGTGTTCCAAATATAAAGCTGTGTGAAGTGGAACTTCATCAGTTTAACATGTTAATATCCATTGCTACAGTGGTTACTCGTACAGTATCATTGCTGCAGTGTAATGTTGGAGAAAAAGTTCTGTGCCTTCATATCTAATTTAACATTCTGTTATTACCAGTTTTAAAACATTTCCTGTAGCCTACCTAACAGGGCTGCTTTTTAGGAACAGGCTTGGATAGATTGTGTTTTCTACCTAAGTTGTTTTCTCTCATGTGGAATATATGTTTTTATTCTTTTTTGCTCATAACCTGACAGTAAGGCATTTCTTTGTTTGTGACAGGAACTTACCACGTTATTTTAGATGAAGGTCATTATAAGGAACTGCTGATGCACCATGTTAGTCCTCCACCTGCCAGTTCAACTTCTGAGTGCTCCCTTATTCGAATGGGTAGGATATGGTTTTGTCAAACTTGTAGCGCAAGATTTGCTTAATCTTTTTCTTTATTTGCCTCTCCTGTGTTAAGGTTATACAAATAGTAAGAAGCACAATAAAGATATTGTGCAATTTTTTTTTTTTTAACTTTTAGTTTGCTAGATAAGCATCAATTTTCTTGATGTTATTCCTGCAAAGTTGTCAGGTTTTAAATAAAGCTTATTAAGTAAGACAAATTACAGAATAGAATTTGGGAACAAGAAAGTGGAATGATATTGAGGGCACAGTAGTTGTTATAAATCTAATACTTAGAAATGAAGGATGAAAAACTATTTTATTTCTCCCTCTACTTTCTTTTCCTGCAGAGGGCAACTGTTACAGCTATTAATTGACTTGAGAGCTGTAGGTAGTAGGTGTTTATTAGCAGCTTCTGGAGTGTTCTTTCAACAAGTAGATTAGGTATCTTTTCTTTTCCTGTTGTGTTTCTCAATAAATTTAAGCTTGGAGTTAAGCCAGAATAGGAACTCTAATTCTACAAAGTAGATCATCAGTAGATCAAGAGTTCTTACTATCATCCACCCTTTACATAGATAAGAATGTATGCATTTTTATGTCTAGGTATAGATAATGAAAAGGTTTACTTCTTGTAGGTAGAGCCTGAGCAGGCATTGGAAAAACCACCTGTCATGAACTGTAACATGAACTGTAAAAACTTTAAAAAATAAATGATAGAAAGAATGGTATCAGTCTCCAAAAAGTCCTGTAGTCTCATCTGTCATACACTGGACTTGGAAGGTGAATATGGGCTGGATGGGTGCATATAAAAATATTTCCCCCTTAATTAGAAACAATTGCATTGTGAGCATTTGTATGCTGCTCATTCTGCTTTCCTACCATTTCACTTATTTTTCTTTTTAACTGTTCTTCAAAAATGGGGTTCCAGTGCACTTCAGTTAACACCAAGTCTATGACAAAGACATTTTTTCAGTTAGGGGGAAGTAAAGTCAGGGAGGTGTGGATGTAGCTAGAGACCTTTGGGAAGAATTTGATACCTAGCAAGAGAGTATCAGTTCTCCTGTAATAACAAATGGGAAAGAGATAGACTTGAATGTCTAGAATAATATTTGATCTTCATTGAAGAAAGAAACTGACACATGTTTAAAATTGTTACTATGGGATGTTTTTCTTTTTCAGGTTTTCCTCAGCATACTATTGCTTCTCTATCTGATCAAGATGCAAAGCCCTCCTTTAGCATGGCGTAAGTAGCATTGATTTGAATTCAATGAGCTGTTAAGAATTCAGTATTAATTTGTCAGAAAATCTGCTCGACAGTGAAAAGTGTTGCAGAATAATATGAAAAAAAGAGTAAGCCATGTCTTGTGACTTTTCAGTAGACATTTTATTTCCATTGGTAGCTCCAGTGTGTGGCCATAGTTACTGCTGTTAAATATGTGTTTTAAAATTTGCACTTGTTTTTTAAGGTAGTAAATGGTGCTTAGTTCTGTTACACAGTGATTGGGACACACAGGTGCTACTAGGTATTTAAGTAATTACTTGCAGTTCTTGATTTAATTATTACTTTAATTATGAAAGATAATTATGAGGACCAAAGGGTATTATCTGAATAAGTACTTCTTATGTATTTCTTAGCGTGACTTTAAAGGGAAGTTTAAAATAGAGGCCTTATTTGATGACTGTACCAGTGCACTTCTCAATGAAAAGAGTCACTGTTTTCCAGGGTGATAGGGGAGTCTGAATTTCAGAATGAAATGATGTTTAACAGCTTGTGCTATTTGAAAGAATAAGTATGATGTGAATCTTATATGTAATATAGAATATTTTTGTGTCTAAAAAGAAACAAGCATGCAGTTATTGTTCATATCTTTATTTTTAAAGATTGGCTCCTTTATATGGAAATATTTGGTCTTTGGTTCCTCTGGGAAAATGTGGTCACTGATGTGTCACCGTATCAGTTGTTTTCTGACACTTAGACATTAAGCCATTATATGCAGTCTAGTGAAACTTAAAATTATTTGATGTGAAAACATTATTTGTAATTATGTATAGTAGTGTGGTATTATTTCTTAAGTACTGAATTGTTTCTTTCTACTGTAGGCAGTTGGAAAATAACAGTGACCCAGGTCTTACACTGGGTGGATATTTTTGTCCTCAGTGCAGAGCCAAATACTGTGAGCTTCCTGTGGAATGCAAAATCTGTGGTAAGTAGCAAGAAAAGGTGAGCAGGTGAAATGAGCAGCTATTCATGGCAAGAGATTTAAGGGGTAGAAAAATTCAGCTATGCTTTGTAATTAAAAGTCAGCTCTGCTTAAGGAGTCCTGCATTTCTGTGACCTGGCATGTCACCTTTGTACAAGAGTCTCTCAGGATTAGACCTATAACAGTAAAGCTGTATCATATTCCTTGGTGTAAGGAATATACCAGGGCTAAGTGTGGAAGAGGGGTGATGCACATGGGAATGGTAACTTCTTAAGAATCCTTATTTAACTAAGCACACCCATATTTCAGAGTCCTCAGTGCAAGGGCATGAAAGAGTGCTTTGGAGTAGAAGGAGAGAAGTATTCTTACCTCCAGGAGTGTGTGGATGAAAGATTCCAAGTTGAACCCAAGGGCAGGCTGCGTACTGACACATGACAGACTGTAGAGTTGTAAACAGAAGTCGTTTGGTCTTGCAAATGGTAATGGACTGTTCAACCAATGATGCCTCCCTCCATTGCTCTTAGGGTGGGAGGGAGGATTAGCCTGGTTTATAATGTTACTATTGTGAGGAGGTGCTGTTCTCCTAGCTCCTACAGGCATATGACTACAACACCATAGGTATTACCAGGACGCATGTATTTGGCAAGAGGATGAAATAATTATAGTTTTGGATCACTTTATCCCAGTTTAATTTCAAGTTTTTCCCACCAGCATAAGTTTTGTTCCAGCAGGGGAATAGTGTAACTGGAGAAATCCTGTGTCTCTGCAGTGGATTCTCGGCAGCTGCAGTGAACAGCAGAACAGTTTGGACATTTACATTACATGTGACTGAGTGATGGAGACATTTGTGCCAGCCCATGCCCCAGCTAACTTGTTCTCATGGTATAATCCCAGCTAGTGACTCAGCCCCAGACACCCACACACTCCCCACTGGTGAGATGGGGGAGAGAATCAGAAGAGTAAAAGTGGGAAAACTCACGGGTGGCATTAAAGGCAATTGAGTAGTTACAGCAAAAGCTGTGTATGCGAGCCAAGCAATGCAAGTAATTTATTCACCACTTCCCCTCAGCAGACTCTCCAGGAAAGCAGGACTCCATCATGGGTAACAGTTGCTTGAGAAAGTAAATGCCATCACCCTGAACATTCTCCCCTTTCCACCTTCGCCCAGCTTTATAAACTGAGACACGTTGTGTGGCTTGGTGTAACTCTCTTGTTCTCTTGACTGCATCCTGACTGTATCCCTTCCCAATGCCTTGTGCACCCCTGAGCCTACTCACTGGGGGAGTAAGAAACAGAAAGGGCCTTGATTGTGTGTAAGCACTGCTCAGCAGTAAAGAAAACATTCCTGCCTTATCAACTGTTTCCAGCATATATCCAAACACAGACACATGATAGTTAGTGTGGCAGAAATTAACTCTTTTAAAACCAGCAGACCTGTGTTAGCTAATACGGGGCTATGGCATGGTTTTGGCAGTAGTATAGCAGGCTGTAGTAGAACTTTGTAATAGGGCATAATTTTAACTGGTGGTGTGATACAGCAGAACCATCATTGCCAAAAGGAGCTTCCTAACTTCACCACTGTGTGTTGTAAATGTATTTCTAAAGGCTAAGTTAAACCTTTTCAGTAGAAATTTGAGCAATTTTCTTGTTCTTTGGATTTAAAACTGGACTGGATTACTGGTTTGGCTAATGGAACAAGTAATTTTACTTTTTAAAATTCTTAGAAGCTATTATCCACTGAGAATGAGACTTTTTACTTTATTTGATACAGAAAAGCTTTTCAGTAAAACCTCCCTTGTAACAATTTTGGTGTCTCTTTATTTGCAGGTCTTACATTAGTGTCTGCACCTCATCTGGCTCGGTCTTACCATCACTTGTTTCCTTTAGATGCCTTTCAGGAAGTTCCACTGGAAGAATACAAGGGGGAACGGTATGCAAGGCTTATTTGTGATAATGAGTGTACTGTAACATTTTTGTAACACAAGTAAGAATAGCTGGCAACAGCTTCTTTGCTGCTGGAGATCCTGAGTGTTTGGGTGGTGTGGGGCACCTCTGTCATTAAGAAATACTTGTCGTTTCCATGATCTGTGAGTTCAGTTGAATAGCTGAAATAATTGCCAGAAATTGTTACTGTGGATGAGATCTATTTAAAAACACTTATTTACACAGTCTTGACTCTTCTTTTCAATTAAAATATACAAATTTGCTTTTAGGTATTGTCAAGGCTGCCAGGGAGAAATAAAAGATCAAAATGTAAGTATGTCGAATGGCACTGTAATTTGTATTGAGAGGTGTGAGAAATAGAGATGGTCCTGTAACTTTACGTTCTAAAGACCATAAAAATACTTGTGAAAGTTAATGTCAAGGTTAACTAGAGTTCTGTGTTAAACAGTCACACTTTCTAGACTGCAAAGTCTGTGGAGATGTGATGTGGCTGGGTCCCGGGGGCCTGTCCGACCCCAGTTTCTGCCGGCAACAAGCCCAGACAGGCGTCCTAGGGGAGAGCCAGAGTCTGGGGTTTCCAGGCAGTCTCCAGCCACGGGTAACCCTTAGGAGCATGGAAAAAAGGCTTAAGGTGACCAGCTCTTTTAGAAGTGATTTCTGCTCTATGATCAGCTCTGTTCAGCCTAGCTGGCTCCGTTCAGGGGTTACTCCAGCCGACGCAGACAAGAAATGGGAAGATCATATGGCATTCCACAGAAAGGCTTCAGTGCAGGCTTCAGCGAAGGGGGCCAGTGATGGTCTAACCCCTGAACTGGGCAAAAGCCGGGGTTTTTCTATGGAAGGGGAGAATCTAGAAGGGGACTCACAGTCTGAGACCAGGGTAAGATGATCATTAGTTAACAGGGGGATAACATGAGGTCCTAAAGCAGGAAGGGGTCCATAGCTTAGTCATGGTGACTAGGCGGTTTTGTCTTACATTAGGGGGCTGATCTCCAGGGAGGATGCCTGTGAGAGGATTGGGGCTCCTCCACAGAGGTGTGGGAAGGGATTTCCTGGGGAGCTGCATAAGAAAGCTTCCACTCTCAGCCACTGGAAGCATTTACAGTGACCTGAGCTCATGCCTGTGGATATACTTGCTATCAGAAGCTTTAATTCAATTGAGTTTCTTTGATGCTAGCAGTATAGTCTGTTTACATTCTCTTTATGACATAACTGTTGTCTTACTGTAGTGTGATGATGATGATAATTTTTGCTAATTTGGCTTGTCTTTCTATCTTTCCCACACAGGTGTACATATGCAAAGTGTGTCAGAATGCATTTTGTGTGGAATGCGATCTGTTTGTTCATGATTCACTGCACTGCTGTCCTGGCTGTATTCATGAGCACCCTGCTCCTGTATCTGTATGATCTCATATATTTTTAAAAATTGATTTGTCTTTGTCATTCTTGAATAAATCCAGTTGTTTTATTCAGCCATCACTTTAACTGAGGCATCTCTGAAGAAGATTCCAGAGGGATAAACAGTGGCATAGATGCAAACTTAAATGTTTCAATGATTTTATTACTGTTAGTATATACGTGAATTATCTGTATCTGTTTTTTGTTCTTGTCTAAAGAACTATGGCTTTTCCCAGCTGTTACTATAATAATGTATATATTTGTAAATGTGAAAGTGATAAAACTGTTTTTTATGATAATGTGATGATTCATCTTGGTTTCATTACTTGTTCAAAAAGAAGCCATGAAAATATATTTTACACATTTACATTTGGTTTTGGTGGATTTCAAAATATTCTTTTGCAAGAATTAAACAAAGGTGATTTGAGCAATTAATTGTAGACATTTCATGTATATTAATTTCAAGTATTATGAGTATTCACCTTGGTGTTTGGTAAGGCAGCTTAAATACAGGTGTTACGAATGTGCTGAAAACACATTTTAGGTTTTAATGGTGCAACTCAAAGCTAACTGAATTCTATTTCTCCTGTGTCTGCAGCTGTCTGGTTTTGTCAAGTTTCAATTTCTTGTAGGAGGGTGAGATTTCTGAAAGGCAATGAACTTGCAAAAGTGCAAGACCTGAGTTAATACAAACTATTGTTTGATGGACTCAGTATTGAATACGAAAAGAGCTGCTATTTGGTTCTGAGGCTACACTGACTTGACAGAACTGCACATCAACTTTTCTAAACCTCTAAAGCAACAAGACAGGTGGGTGCAGGAGGGTAAGTGCTCCTCCTTACCTGAACCTTGAAGAATAGAAATTGACACAAGTGCAAGCCTGACATTTTGCAGTGTCTGCTCAAAGTGTGTTTGCAGCTTGAACCTGTGAGAATTGTAATATGCTATACCTCAGTAAAAGGAGGCTACAGGTGCAGTGTCTGGAGCAATACATCACAATGGGTTTTCTAGAGTCACCCTGTGATGATTGTAAATACATCAGTGACTGAGTTGCTCTGGGTGCATGTGACTTAATTTTTGCACTTTGTTTTTTGTCAGATTAGAAATGGCAGTATAACAGCTGAATTACTAAGGAAAGAGAGGTGATTATGAATGTTATCTAAAAGATGTGCATAATATAATTTAGTAGTCTTTTTTTCCAAAAGAATGTAAAAAAAATCCTGTAGCAGAGACAAATAACAATTAAATACATGAGCTGCATTTTTTTTGCTTTGCACTGATTCCCACAGGTAGTCTTTGATTTTCTCAAGTTTGTCAAATACATGGAGACAGAATTCCAGGGAGTCCATGAACAACTGCAGAAGAGTTAAAACCCTACGTAAGAAATGAGTGTGATAAAGCCCTTTTTGTCCTATACATCTCATTCATGGTCTTTGACAGAAATGGCAACTGCTGCATTTTTTCTCACACCCTTGTTCAATCAGTGTGCAGTGTTTTTGCTGTGGGTTAGATTTATTTACTATGATGGTTAGATGTACCCCGCACAAACAGCACAAGAAATTCTCTCCTCCTTGTGAATTTGTCCTGTGCAAAGCTGTGGGTAATATTTCAAAATATGACATCTGTGTTCAGAAGTTGAAGAACCCAGCAGAGACACTCAGAGGTACAGTGTGCAGGATGCAGCCCTTTGATATATGGCTGTTGTATGTCAGAGGAACAAACTCTTATTTACTTGCCAGAGGTGGGTTTTTCTTTACAGGTAATTGAAAACAAAACTGGGAGGGATTGTTGGTTTGATTTATAGAATGGCACAGGTCTGCTTACAGCACTTGAATAAATACACATTTTATTTTCATGCATTGTTTGGCAATGCACTGTATTTTCCATAAATGCTGTCATCCTCATGATGAAGAATACAGGCAACTCACTCAATCCTCAGGCAAGAACTGTTGTATTATTTTATCATTCTTGCTGTGTTCCCTGCACCTTTTGTTCTAATACAGCATTTTTTTGAGTTGAGGGGACTTCCTTCAAATGCATTGTAAAATATGTGGATCAACTGTGTGTTTTTACAGTGACATAATTTTATTTTTTCTGCTTATTAGTCTGTAACAGATGCCAGGCTTACAGATACAATGTCTCTTCATCTACCCCAGAAATGCAGGCAGCTCTTAAAAAGTTGGCCATAATTGCTTTGATTTGGGATCTACCTTCTGCTATATGCCCTCTCCTCTTCTGATTTAGACAAAGGGAATCTCCCTGCATTCGTCTGCAGTAGACATTAATAAAATTATTCTAAAAAGTGTCACTTCAAATCCTCTGCAATTGTATTGTCCCTTTGGAAAGGTTCCTTTACAGCTTGGTTAGCAGATGGTGCTGCCAGCTCTCTTCACTGGCTTTTTGTTCCTGCTGGAAGGTTTAAATTAGTTGACCTATTCTCATTTCATTTCTCAGACCCAGGCTGTCTGATTTTATTTTACCCACTTATTTTCCCAGAGGTTTTGAGCCTTTTGTTTTCTTTGTTAAAAAAGCTTCAGTTTTTTGAATGATGTTTTCTGTCATGGGCAGAATGGGAGCTTCAGACAAAGTTTATCAGGGAGACCCTTCCACTGAGACATGAAGTGCAGAAAGTACCTGCTTATCTTCTAAACTTCTGAGAAAGGAGTTCAGATGGGTCTACTCTGAGACCCAGATTTTGTTTTGCTTTCCTGTAAGCCCAAGATGCTGGCAATGCAGTTCTGTCCCTGCTTTGGAGAATGTGATAGCAGGCCAATGCTTTCCTAACTAATCAAGTTAGGATTTCCTAACTAATCTTTGATTGCAAAGGTAATCCCACCTTGAGCATCTTTGAGAATAGAGGAGTCTGACCAGACTCTTTTTGAAATCTTGGCTTGAGGAAGCCCATGTTGAAACCTCTGCTGTTCCTAAAGCCAGGTGTTTTACGTAAGCTTGAACCAAGATGGTTAGATATATAAACACAGGACAAGTAAAAGATTCACATTCCAATGCAGGTGGAGTGGAGATTCAATAATGCCCCGGCGCCTAGCTAAAATCTTGTCATGGCTTTCCATTAGGAGAGTAATGCAGCTGAAAAATGAGAATGGCTTTTGCAAAAGTTGTGACAAGGAGATTAAAATTAAATTGCCTTAGACTTGTCTGAGGTTAAAGCCAGAGCAAACAGTGGCAAGGAGGATATGTTTTTAGAAAGGAGAAAGCATTTATCTGGACACTTATTTGTCTGGTGTTCCTAGAGGAACATTGAATCAGGTCTCCAAAGCAGTTGTGATGAAGGGTGTGTGTTCAGGTCCTTCTGAGGGGGATGAGCCAAATGAGATGCATGGCTGTCCTCAATTAGAATCAAGTGTTCAGCACCTCTGAAAGCCAAACACTGTCCTGCAAAAAACAGGTGTATAGAGAACAGGGGAAAATTGAAACGGATTTCATTTTGAGAAGGGAGGAATACCTTTTATTTCCTTCCTGTCCCCCCTCCCCTTCCCTTCCTGTGGGTGCCTTGAGTTTGTCAATGGAAAATTCCTTGTATCTCTGGAGTGCTCATGAGACCTCTTACACCCTCTATGGAGATGTAGTTTGCCTTTTCTGTTGATGACCTTGCTATTGAGTTACAGAATGAACAACAACAGCAGAGCCAAACCTGAGAAAGGAAAGCAGATAGTAACCTATTGCCCATAATCTAAATTTTAATGGATTGTTTTATTTGGATCTGCTGCTGTCATTCGTTGGCACAATATTCAGGAAATTATGTAGTTTAATTCTTAACAGGAAAGGTCATCTTCTCTCTGCATCATACAATTTAGGTCTTTTTCTTAACCTGAAGGAGTGCACCCTTCCTGCAGGGTAAAAGAATGAAATCTGCAGCCAAACTGATAGTTTAGCAGTGTCTATACCTGCTGCACCTCAGATGCTTCCCATTTATCCTGTGGCTGCAGGATGATGGCTGCAGGATGTTAGAAGTAGGTGAGCTTACAGGAGAGAATTTCAAATTAAGTAAAAAGTGTCTGAGTAGAGAAGACACTGCTTCAGGATAAATTAATCTTGTTTGTATACTTTACAGAAATTGCAAATTGTCATTTTAATGGGTATTACTTCTTCCTGTTCTATACACAGCCCAAAATATACCTTGCTTCTCAAAGTATATTGAGCCTGCTTACATACTGGACTTTGCTGAGACTGTTGTTGAAATGCCTTCTTATTTCCCCTTCTACAAAGCAATGGAAATTACAAGAAAAATCAGTGGGAAAATAGACTGACTTAAAATAGAGCTTCATATCATTGTTGCTCGTTATATTAGCTTATAAGCTCTAGCTGTTAAAACTCTGTATCTCCAGAATATTTTTTGATTGTAATTTTTTTCTAGTATAGTCTTAAAACAACCATGTCATACCCAGTCAGGAAAAATGTTTTGGTTTTTTTTCTGTAAACAAATGCCAAGTCTGTCACATTATTTTCCTTTATTTTTGACATACATTTCAGTATAGTGATTTAATTACAGGAGTCTCCTCTTGTAAGCAGGATGACCATAAGACGAGGCTGGAAAGCTCATGTGATGGTACTCAGGCCCGAGAGTAATAGTTATGCTTGGTATCTCAATCTCTGCAGTGCTGATCTGATGTCTGACCTCCAGTGCCTGCACAAGTGGGTGCTTTATTTGCTTTGTTCTGTAAGAGTGGGATTTGAACACTTGTAAAGACACTGGGTATGTCGCTCTATTGGGAACGGCGAAAAGAACGACACAGACTGTCTCATGGAGTTGAACTGGAGAAGTTTCTCTCCGGTTTATTACCTCAGCTCTTTTTAATATATGACTGATATGTGAAAAGTACAGAAAAGAAAACTCTTATTGGCTAGTAAACTAACACATCACCATCATTGGTTAGTGGGGCTCACCACCCCTCAACTTTCTCTTGCAAGAAAACAAGGAACAGACAAACAGCACCTGCAGGGCTGTTTTCTATCTCTGAGGATTGTTTTAATTCCTCCTTATCAATTCCCAGGCCACTTTCCCAGGCAAGACTGAGAAAGTTATGTGGCTTGTAGTTTCACAGGCACTATGCTGCCTGCTTCAGAGTTAGCATCCATACTGGTATCTTACTCTACTAGGCATTGATATGCCTGCTAGAGTATCCTTTATCAGTCTCCTCAGTCTGAGCATCACAGTGCTCAAATGTGTAGATTTCAAAGTTCTATTATTTGTTTTCAACCCAGCAGCAACGAATTTGTTGTATTTTTAAATGTACCATACCTTAGCATCACTGTTTATTTGTTCATGTTCCATATGGCTTTGGAGCATCTTCTCTAGAAGCTCAGAAAGCTCTGTTAGCAAATCACTGTTACAGACATTTCTTTAGAATGCTTGATGTGTCTGCCTTAAAAGAAGTGGCAACTATCCACATGTTCACATCAGATCACAGCCAGAGCAGCAGCAATGGTGGTTTTATGTCACTGTTTCTTGATTGTCTGGTCCTGTGACAATAACAATGGTGGGTTGGCTCCTTGATAGAGGCCCTTAAAATGTCTAGTATCACAATGAAGGATCCCCTGGTGTAGGAGTTTAAAATTACCTTAGCAGTGGGTTTTGCCCTTTTCACCAATTTTTCAATCCTAGAAAAGTTTGGAAGTGTTAGGGTTTTTCCTTCTCTTGTATTATTAACTATACCCCTCCATTGCAAATAAACATTGTCCTGGTTCCAGCCAGGATAGGGTTAATTTTCCCAGCAGCCAGGAGAGGACGTGACTATGAATCCCAGATTATCCTGTACCACCTCACATCTTCAGTGGGGATGGGAGAAGGCTCCTTTCCAGGTCACATATCCTGCCAGTGGTCAGCTGTTGGGAGTTCTCAGCGTGGTAAGCGCTCATGTGTGAATTACTTGCCTTTCTTGTACACACGCTTACTAATGTTCTACTCAGTCAATTTGCTTGCACTTGATTCATGTGACTGATTTATTTGTTTAAAACATAAACCCCTTTACTGAAGTCAGAACTGCAGTAAAATTATTGTATGTTAGATTTTACTACTGTTAAAAACTGAAGGCCACTTTTTTTAACAATGTCAGACACCAGTATAACTGATTGAAGCAGAGAGCAGTTCTGCCTCTTCAGCAATCTGAAAAGATGATTTAGAAGCTTTACCTCACTGCAGTCAGTCTTAATTTATGTCACCTAGACATAAAAAAAAAAGCCTTCAAAGTAGCTTAGGTAAGTTACGATTAAGTATTTTTTTGCTTAATTACTTGTAGGAAAACTGATTTTTTTGACACATGACCACAGCAGGAAAAGGAAGTGAATGTAGTAAAGTTCATACCTCTATTTCCCTGAAAAGAAAACCACTGGCATTAACTAAATTACTACCTAGTTTTGTAGCTACAGCCTCTATTAAGAGTAGGGTAGAGTAAAATTCAGCCCTACATTGTGAGGACTGAAATCCATGTCCGTACATACCTTTCCACAGGCTTTCCCTAATTTGCTTTCAGTAATGGTACTCAGAAAAAGGCAATATAATGTATATATGTATATAGGCTTTCTGCTGTATTTCAGCCATTCATCCAACCAACCAAGAGATGCCAGTGGAAGCTCAAAATAAAAAGCACCCCAAAACAAATTACAACCCTAAACTCAAAGTTTAAAAAGTAGAACTTTATTCACACATTTGAAATGAGACAATAGCCTTTCTGAAACCAGCTGTCAAATTTCCCAATTCTAATCAGACCTGTAAGATGTCCTTCCTACTACAACAGCACACTGTTTTCCACGCCAGTGGCACCAGTGGCCACTGCAACACACATTGCTGCCACAGCTTTCTCCTAAAAGAGGATACCATAATCAATCGTTCTAGTGCTGCCATTCAGACAGAAAGCCTGAGGAATGCAAGACATGTTGAGAGATAAATAAAATCTATCACATGAGGTCAAAAGAGTTAAATCTAACATGCAATAAGAAGTCTTGAAATTGCCTCAAGGAAGTAAAAAGTACTTTGTTGCTGCAGTGCTTCTGAAATACATTTGACTAGAGGTCTTTTAAGAAATAGCTCATTTAAATGCACATTTAATTACTAGTCTGAAATTATTTATTTGTTAACAGGGACAGCTCAGTGTTAAGAAAACATTATGACTAATTGTCTTGATAAAAATTCAGTTCTTCACCATCAATCCCCAATGCATAAGTGATACACACCTCTCAATGGAAAAGATTTGTACCTGGCTTTAAAAAAGAAGCAAAAATTAGTATAAAAGAGCTTTTTGCTTTTAAACACGCAAAGAATTACTAAATTACACAGAAATTACATGTTATCACAGAAAATCAGAAAACAATTCCCCAGGAGAATATAGTTTTGTTTTATAAGGAAGTGAGCAATACAATGGAGAATTCTGGACAAAGCATTTCAAATACAAGCACAGGTACTGAAGTACTGAGCACTGAACTGCTCGACATTACCGGACTGAATTTATCCTGAAAATAAAGTTTAGCTACAACCTACCATCCCATCTGTGTAAGGAAACACAGATGAAAAAGCTGCATTTCGCTTACAACCTTTTGTTCCCAAAACAGCCCACTATGAACCATTAATAATTCAAATGAGCTGCACTGTTAATCCTTATGCAGACAAATGCTGTAGTTAAAACTCTCATCAGAGCAATGAATTCTTTCCTTCATTCTAGCCACGAAAATACAATTCCATAGCTGCTAAGCATAGAAGGGATTACTACTGGCAGAAGTAGTCTTTACAGAGAGCTATAAAAGTGGATGGAAGTCCCAAAGCCAAGAGGTTTTTGAAGGCAGTTCAAAACTTGACTGTATCTTCATTTACCACAAAGCTGTAATACTTACAATCCTCCAGAACAATGGTGGATATTCGGTTACTTTGCGTGTGTTTGTCTCTCCAGCGATGCTTCCATTCGGCTTTGTTTTAAACCCTACAGGATACAATTTAGTAAAATCTTGATTTTGCCAACATGCAAATAAAAGCTTTAGTTGCAGAACAAAAACATTTCAGGACAATCTTTTTCAGTCCTCTACAAATCACAAACAGTTTTTAACTTTCTTTGGAAATCAGAATGGGCAGTTTAAAAATAGTAAAAGCCAAACTACATGTGTTTTTGATACGCAGAGGCTATACAAAATATATACTTCAAATATATACTTCTTGTTCAGTTGAAAGTAAATTAAAGCAATCCACAATTATATATAATCTGAAGCACCAAATCCTCCCTTTCCAACTTCCTCAGTGCAAAGAGTTCATTTCATCATTTTCTTTCTTCATTAAGTGCACAGATGAAAATATGAATCAATAATACAAGTCACAGATTTTCACAACTATGCTGACAGTTTCTACTGGACCTTCACAATGACACGAAACAATTATTGATGAACTATCTCTGCAAAAGTGCCAAATCTTATCTTAAATGTGATACTACCACTCATACTAAAGAAAAAAACATAAAGAAAATACATAGAAGACTACTGAAAAATAAACATATTTACTCCACCTGTCTACAAAGACAGAATTGGTTGTTTTAGAATGGCTGTAAAACGGTGATCATAAAAGTACCTGACAGTGGAAAAAGTACAAAAACATCAACTATATATATATATAAAATACATATACATGCTGGCTCACTGAATTGAGTGAGAATATGAATTCTACTCAATGACAATACTTACACAATAGAAAACACCCTTAAATGTAGTGACTGTAAATTAGAATAAGAGACCTAAAAAGCAGCACTCCCTCTATGGCTTCTTGCTGCAAACAGGAGCACCAACAGCAGTGCAAAATTACCAAGACACTTCAAAACCACAGCAGCACATACCAGGTAATATCCAGTGTGGTAACCACTCATGTACCAGGCTATCAACATGCTCCCCAATGCTTCATCGTCCTCAGCAGAGTCTGGCCTCATGGGTGGTGGAGGAGGAATCAACTAAGAAACCACAAAGGAAATGTCTACGTTTCAATAGGGTGTTTCCCAGAATAGAGAGCACCTAATTCTAAAAGATTAAAACATAAAACTGAAAAATAGGAACATATCCTTAATTTGTTCTCTGAAAAGGAGTCAAAGATGGTGTTTTCTGAAAACATGTGATTTCCAAAGCCTAGAAAAACCAAGACTCCCATAGCTTAACTGTTCACAAAAAGTGTTTCTAGGGGAAAATACTATCTTCTTCAGTGAAATGCTGTTAATATAAAGTGCAGTTTCTTCAAATAATTTACCCCTTGATATTCTTACCAACAGCTTCACTGAAATGAGTACGAAAATGTCACAGAAATTAGTAAAAATCAGACCTTGTACATTAGATTATCATAATATTTGTAACTGAATATGTTAACAAATACGTGAAAAATACAGGCAAACAGAACAAATGTGTTCTAAAAACACAAGTAGTGAGCACATTCAGTGAGAAAACCTGAGATCACTAATACTCATTCCCCATTCTTCTGTCACTTACTGGTGGTCCTGCTGGGAAGGGTGGGGGCCAGCAAGATAAAAATGATGGAGGTGCCTTGAATTTTGATCCAGACTACATGGGGAAAAAAAAAAGTGAAACAGTACAAATTAAAAGGGAATTTGGGGTATTAGGATTTTACTTAATATAATTTATTTAAGCTTATATACCAATTCATATCCCTTAAACTAATAGACAACATAACTCAGCAATTTAATGAAAATACAGACAGTAGCTATTTCTGAGACACATTCTGTAATTTGAGATGCACAACTTAAGATTACTCATGTCACTGAGGTAAACACTGCTGAAACAGGGCTCTGATTAATAGAAGCATTTTTAAAAGGTTTTCCTAAGTGGAAGTCAATGGCCACACTCCCAACAGGAAGAAACAGATCAAATATTCACACAGGCAAAGAGATAATTTCTCTGCTCCTGTGTGGATGGGGCAAAAGTTGACTAAATTCCACTACGCTAGTGAAAGTCCTTAAATAAATATTTGGATACAAATCTACGGATAGAAAAGAAGAAAAGATAAAATAAAACCTTATAAAGAAATCCTGCACAAACAGTAATATTTAGAAAACATAACACTGTGTTTTAGAGAACATCTATACTATTACTTGGACTCCTAAACAACAGGATAGCTGAAGGGTGTATCAATACCCCATTCACTCCTAATTCAAGAGAGCAGCTACAGCTGAGAGGCTTTTATGACACCTCCTGTGAAGTTCAGCATACTGACTGGCTAGAAAATGCAAAATCTTAAAGCATAAACAGCACTGTCATTAATCACACCACCAGAATCCATGGAACAAATTAGAAGGCAATAGGAAAGCAAGTGTTAGCCAAGGACCAGAAGGCTCTCCTCACTAGACAGCAGCACTGCAGAAAGGCTATACTGTGGCCAAATTATTACAAAACGGCAGACCAACAGATACTGACATGCATATATGTACATCCATTCTCAAAATGCTGCTAACTGAATTCTAGACAATGCTAAATACTATCGTATTGTCTCAGAATTCACAAAAAAATACCAGGCTTAACAATGGTAATAAAGTATTTATATTAAGGTTGAGCTTACCCTTCCTAGGCCTGGTGGTGGTGGTGGCGTAGGAAATCTCAAGTTCTGAGGGGAAAATCTTGCTTTTGTGCAGTCATTTTTGTTTCGAGATGACTGGGAAGATTTTTCACTTTCATCTGTTGAATATGGAGTCTCATTTTCATTCTAGAAGACAAAGATGTTTCTATGAAATACACTAAACAGGAGCCCAAGAGCAAGCAATTTTAGTGTGAAATAGTTTGGAAAGTCCCATTCATATCCATCCCCCTTCTCTAGCCCTCCCAGACCTACTCAGGAGCTTTATCTGCTCACCATTTGAGCTATGTTATCTTTCACTGGTGAATTTCTTGTTGTCCCCTCCCTTTCTTCCATGCCGAGTTCTAAAAGTAAAGGGATGCATTCATTCCCTCCATCAGCTTGTGTCTGTTTACAACAGAATTGTGCATTGCTTCTCATGCTGAACACCAGCAGTGCTACCAGACATACTAAAATAAGTGACTCTCGTGCTTTCCCACTTCTTTACAGAAGAATGAAAAAGTCCCTCACCTCCCCAGAATGGCTCATCCCATTTACTGTTTCATCGCTGGTTGGAGGACGTAGATTAGACAGGTTCTGCTCCTCCTGATTTCCATATCCTGTGTAAGTGACAACACATGTGCCTCTCTTCTGGTTGATGGAGGCAATAGTTGCTAGATACAAATTACCATCCTCAGACCAAACAGCACTGCAGCTGTCACCAACTTTCCACTGCAACAGAAGCAAGAGAAGCATGTAAATACCTATACCAAGGGGATGAACAGAAGGTGCCTTTTCCTAAACTACTTTTAAAAAAGTCCAGAAATATGGATCCCACCTACAGCATTTCCTTTGTATTTAATGAAATTCCTATACATAACCTAAAAATAAAGTTTATAACGTTATCACCCCACACCACCATCCCAAAATGTTACTCTCAAGGTGATAAAGCAACTGCTTCCGGGTACCGAAGTACCACCATGCAGTACGAGCACCACTGGCATTTACAAGTGAGACGACCTGTTTCAAAGGCGCTGTATTGCTCTTGTTTCTATTTCTGTTCTTTTTATGGTTTTTTCTCTTTATCATCATGCGCTGCTCCTGCTTGTCTGAAGGCTCTGAGCACTCCCCGTTCTTTAAGGCATTCTTAGGGAAGAGAAAGAAAAAAAACCAATAAATGCCAATCCAGCGGCCTCAGCCCCAGGATCCAGCCACGGCCGCTCCGACCCCTTACCTTGAAGGAGGCCACCGCCTTGTCGTACGCCTTGATGAGGGCCGTGTCGTCCCAGATGTCCGAGTCGTCGCTCTGGGGAAGCCACACAGCCTTTAGCGCCATCGCAAGGCCCCGCTCCCGCCCCGCGCTCCCGGCCCCTTTCCCGTTCCCACCTGCCCGGTGCCGCGCCGGAACAGCACCCCGTCCGCCATGGCCGCGCGCCCGCCGCGCATGCGCCGAGCCCCGAGCGCGCCCCGCCGCCGGAAGGGGCGCGGCCCCGCGTGCTGGTCTGGGCCTGCTCCACCGGGAAAGCCGCCCTGGGCGGCTGCAGAGCGGGAGCTGGCACCGAGCCAACGACAGGCGAGCAAAGGAATTGCTGCTGTGCTCACTACTGGGCTCCTCAGTAAAGGAAGGACAGGCATACTGGAAAGGGTCCAGCAAAAGGTCACGTAGATGATTTGGAGTCTGGAGAATCTCTCTAGTGAGCAGAGAATGTAGGACTTGGGCCTGTTCAGTCCAGAGAAGACTGAGAGAGGATCTCATCAAAACAAACAAGTATCTCCAAGGCAGGGGCCCAGAGGATGGTGCCAGACTCTTTTCAGTGGTAATCAGCGACAGGACAAGCAGTAATGGCCATGAACTAAAATACAAGAAGTTCCATCTCAATATGACAGCTTTTCACTGAGGGTGGCAGAGCACTGGAGCAGGCTGCCTAGGGAGGTCATGGAGTCTCGCTGTCTGGGGGACATGCAAACCGCACCCGGGTGCATTCCTTGGCAGGGGGCTTGGACTGGGTGATCTCCACAGGTGCCTTCCAACCCTAAAAATTCTGTGATTCTCTGAATTTGCTTAATTTTTCAGCATCTGCAGGTCAGCATTGCTAGCACCAGCTACATTTTCCTTCCAGTTCTCCTCAAGCTGCGCCAGGGCCTGTTACCAATAAATGCACAATAGATGGAACACAGCTTAAAAAGCAAAGGCTTCAAAAGCTATCTCTAGAGACTAAATCAGTTGCTGAGAAGCACATTCTGTGGAGGCAGCTCCAAGTGCAGCTGCCGCAGGAGCCCAAGGCAAGAGGCTGTCAACTGCCAACCCAGTGCCAAGACAAAGGGCACAAGGACCTGTGACACCAGCCAGGGACCTGAGGCATGGTAGGAGCCAGGATCCACCCCTAGACTATGAGTGTATAAAATCCCAGGGGTTCCTTTTGTTTAAGGTCCCTCCACAGAGTCACCCGTCAGTTACTGCACCAAGATGAAATTATATTAAAGATCAGGATCTTTAACACTGCTACAGGAGGCCTGGGGTTGAACCGGTAAGGAATCCTGGGCTGTGAGTGGTAGAGTTGTGAAGGGGCTTCATTCCCAGTTCAGGTGGTGTGAATGTGACTGCCAGAGTGCCTCCTGGATGGTCAGACAGGGAAGCTTCCTCAACAGTTTTCCCCTGGTCAATACACAATATACTCAAGCATGCCTATGAAGCAAGGGCTGAGTTTTTCCACACTAACTTATTCCTGAGGCAGGTGTAAGCAGTGATTTCAAATCATTTTAGTGGCATGACAATTTCGAGATCTGCTTCCATTGGAACTCATTAGCAGCAATCCTGCAGCTTATCTGTGCTAGGATCAGGACTCAACTGAGTCACTTTTGTACACCATCAAAGTCTGCAACTCAAGAGGCATTTTTTCCTATGGGGCAGACTTAAACAATGCTTATAATATGTATTTCTTATAAACTTTACTTATACTTTGTATTACACTTACATTCTTATACTGCATTTCTCCACAAGGGTATCAATTCCTTATGTTCTTGGTAACTTAGAAATCAACTGATTATGAAGCATTACCATTTCAGATTAGACAGTATTTCATGCAACATTTTATTGTAAAAATACTTTGAGATTTACAGTTCAGACCTCTGCAAGGTTAAGCATATTTTACAAGTGTGTTCCATTCTGAATGAAGCTGTACTTTCAAGAATTTGGGCAACCAAATCTGGTCTAACTGTAGATTCAGAAATTCTGTTACTGGAACCACTACGTAAAACTAACAAATGCAGCAAAAGCTAGAATGAAGCTATTGCTTGGTACTTTTATTCATACACATGCAGAAGAGTGTAGTCAGTTTTGAAAGAGCACTGTAGACAACTAGGCCTATAGTAACCAGAAAATACTCTAACTAATGCTAGTTGAACAACTCTGCACAATAAAAGTTTAATCATTTAATGGCCGGACACTTTTATGAATGATCTTCTAGGTCCTGCTTCATTGGTGCACTCCATCTTCTCCATAGCAGCAGCTCATTTTGCTCCTGCCTGCAGAGACTTCCTTTCATTAGCTGCTTTTTGCTTTTGCTGCATGATTTCAGAGTCCCTGTGAAGGAAAAACAGTTGGCTATCAGACACTGGATCACAATTATTCTAAGCAGAGCTTCTTCCCTTTAATAGCCCCCACTTGAAGAAGGAAAGAAAATCAGTATAATATTTCTCAGCCACGAGCACGGTGTTTTTATTACCCTGTTTTCTTCAGTGTATTCAGTGCATACTCCATAAGGCAGACAATTTACTTGAGTATAAATAAATTTAGAAATAAAAGATGTAATGGATTGAACATCTTCAAGACAGCATTACACAATCTTTTCCCTTTTGCTGTAGGCAAAAAGCTGCTCAAAAAAATTAAAAAGCTTTACAGGACTTAATAAAAATATATCTGTTTAAAAGCAGATACTGCAAAATTTCATCCACAGTTTATGCTCTGGCAAGTGATTAGCCAATGAATAAAAACAAAGTATTCAGCCAAGACACTAGATTCTTCCTGACCCATTTTCTTCTTTTTCTGCCTAAACATTTATTCAGCTTTATGAGATCTTACCTCTGTTTCCTCTGAGAAGCAGACAAGCTATCTTCTTTCCTTTTTCCTTTGTGGATCTCCTGAGTTTTCTTTAGGTTCTTTTGGCGGGCAAGTTCACGCTGGTTCCCACCTGCAAGGTAATATACAGTTAAACAAGTATTACCACTTGTTTTTTTTCCCCCAAGGTCTACCTGTGTAAAAGTCTGTTATGAAGGCAGTACAGTTTGGCACAATGTATAGAGCTGGTCATATCTTCTATTTCAGTGTCCCCTCCCAGGGTACAACAGGAAAAATTAAAGGCTCATAGTTGTTAGTTTTTCAATTCTGTACATCATGTTCAAGAGACTACCAAAATTCTAATACTCCTTATAGAAACAAAATATAGTTTACACACCAGTTGGCTGGGTAAAATCACGTCTGTAACTCATCCAAAGAGAAGTAATCCACTCTCAAACAGATTCCAGCATTCAAAATAGCTTATGAATTAATTTTTGACCAAAAGAACAGCATTGAAATTGATTACACTCAAATACTATTGAAGAGGTGACCTCAAAAGTTTCCTTAATTTGAAATCAAGTGCAAAACTTAAGCCTGCACCTTAGCAGTTAGGTGGCATTACTTCCAACAAAAGTGAGAAGAGTAACATTACTTCTATATGCATATAAAGATACAAACCCACATCACTGTCAGAAGACAGGACATTTATTCAGGGAACAGACAGCTTTCCCCACAACTACCAACCAACAAATGTCCAACAAGACAGGAGTACACAACATCAAAACTACTGACACTCCATCTAAATACTCAGGGTCTTCCAGGCAATGGCCACAGATTGCAAACTCTTCTGCATTAGATGTCAATGTCCCCTCAGTATTCTCTTCCATAGTTCTATTTTGCTCCCACCTGCCAGACCTGGTTCACTGGCTTGCTACTTCTTCTTGCTCTACTTCGTTTGGACTGACAGTGTTCCAGATATACTAGGCATAATCATTGTGCTGTTGAACTAACACAATCCTATTCTTTTAAACTCAAAAATGAAAATTCCATCTCTCATAATTTCTGTTGTGTCTCTTTTCAGTCTCTCTACAGTCTTATGACTGCCTATGCCATCTTCCAGCCTCAAAGCCAGAGATCTCTGTCTTCAATGCCTCTAATTGTTGGTATACAAAAACATTTTAGGACTAGGTCATTTCTAAGCAACCTGCTAGTATGATCCACCACTTTGTACCCACACCATTTCTGAGCAGACAAAGGTACCTGCCTGTGGGAAACAGTAAAGGTAAGAAGACTTTCAGAAGCTGTGAAAATGGACCTCAGAAAAAAAAAGCAGAGAACTTAGAGCTAGCTGCAGCTGCAAGGCCTGAAATTAAAGAAGATACAATAACACAGTATGCAAGGACATGAAACAATAATTGAGTTCTAAGGCTTGGCCAAGATAGATCTTAAGAATGCAGAAAAATATCCTTCTTACCAAGATAATAGAAAGTTTTAAGCTTAATAGCAGAGTATTGTGTATTGTTAATAGAAAGCAAACAAGCAAGTATTGTTTGAAGGTGTACGTGTGTTTCTAGTGATTGGATAGAACAACTGTCTGTAAGCTTTAGCAATATACTATTGGCTGAAAAAATTATGAAATGTTCTGTAACAAAGAGATCTTGAGCTGCTTGTGGCAGACGTGAGCTTGTGCCATCTCCTGTATCTGCAGCTGAGACTGGTGCCTGAAATAAAAGCTCGTGATGCGTCACCCAGCAGTCCCATCCCATTTGTGAAAAATTAACCTCCAACAAATGATGCCCCAAGAGGCAGGGAATTCATTTTAGAATTCCTCAGTGGACTATTTCTGGTCATCGTGTTGGAAGCCCCAGATCAGGTGAAACCATTGAAAGGAAGCAGACCCTCTCCTGAAACAAGAGATCCTCCCTCCCTACCTTCCTGGACTTCAGAGTGAGGTGAGGAAGGGATCTCTGGGGAACTTTGGGATGGGACAACATTTCTTGTCCAAAGAGAAATCGGACATTTATCACCAGCTTGACATTCTTCTAAAAGATAAATCTCAGACAGAGATTGGGAAAAATGAATTGAAAAACTTGCTGACTTGGGTAAATAAGAACTTTCAACATATAGACCCTAAGTCTGCTTTAACTTATGACTTTTGGGATCTGGTGAACTGGAAACTGTGTAATGCCCTCTCTGTTAACCGAGATGAGACAGTAGCCAAACTATTTCCTGTATGTCGATCACTACTAGAAATCTTTCAAAAGACCGGACCCGTGGGCCCTCCCGGGCTCAAGACCGACTCCACGGCTCCTCCGGAGAACTCCTCCGCGTGTCAAAACCACCCCGCGCCTCTCTCCGGCGTCCCAGAGCAAACTCT